CAATTTTTAGACGGGTAGGTAGTGGGGGTGTAGAACCGTAGATGGATCTAGTTAATTTGTAGGATGGCTGTGATTTTTCTTTGTGGGTGGTGGACGGAGTTGAGTTGGCCTGGATTAAACAAAGAAGAAATGAAACAGCACGTGATGTTCTGGAACTTATGTGCTGTTTTTTACGCGTAGAACCATACCGGTTTCTAATTGGATAATTTGGTGTAAAAAACCTTAGAGAATTCATTATAATTAAATGTGTTAATAATGACTACTAAGGTTTTGTTGGATGACAGTAACTTTCTACTCCTCCTACTACCCAAGAAATTAATACTAGTTATAAATAAACAAAAATTTTATTTAAAGATGTGGGGTAATCTTGTTAACAAACTATGATTTTTTTGTATTCTCTAACTTAAAATCTTCTGCAAAAGTAAATGATTTCGGTTAACATTTTCTTTTTTTATTGCCAAGGATTTAAATCTCTCCTTAACTAAGTAATTGTTCCAATACGAATATTTTAAAGTTTTTAAGTTCAATCATGGAGTTAAATAAAAAGTTTTGTAAAAAGATGATTTCTTAGAGACCATGCAACCCATACTTGAATGTATAAAAGAGAGATTGAAGCTGGATATGGTTTGATTATCTTGAAAGAAGTTTGAGAAAGATTGAAACTGAAAGCTTAAGTTCTCACTTATTTTCTTATTGAGGGGAGATTCTTCTTCTTCTTCTTTTGGTAGGAGGATTTCTTAATTTGAGTCTTAATTGGTTTGGACCACAAACACAGATAAAGTCATACGGAAACCAATAATTAAGTTGATGGTTGGTGATATAATACATTAAAAGAGTGAAGACTTTTTGGCAGTATTGCTAATACAGGCTGATTTTATTGCTCAAATCATAAATAAAAATACGGGTATCCCATGTGAAGGGAAGCAACAAGTAAACAATAAACAAAGCACACCAAATCCATTAATTCTTTATTGAAAAAAAAAAAGAAGAAGACCACAGAAAATTTGTTGGTCGCAAGTATATTTGGATTTTGAAGATATATATATTGAGCCTTTCTTAATTTATGAAGAAAGTTATGGAGATATTTAAAGAAAAACAAAGACATAACATGGGTGAAATCAAGAATATATACAAGGGGGAAAGGAAAGGAAAGGAAAAAAGAAGTTAGAATGATGAGAGGAACATTGGAAGGGGCAAAGATTCTTGTATAAAGAGAGTGTCGTCCTATACTAATCATTATTTTTCTTTATCCCTTTAATCACCTCTGAAGAAATTGAGTGGATGAAATGAAGCACAGCATACGAAAGAGGGATTAAGTTTGGTGAGCAGTCAGTCCTTGCCGACAACAACCTCTGTCTCTCCACTAAATGAGTAATTAGGAGAACCCAATGCATAAAAAAATAATGCAAATTCACTCTACTTTTCTACTCAAAAGGTGGAAGACACACTTGATTTTTCACTTTTTCACTGTTGTGGAGGTGGGTGGGGGGTGAAAGGTGAATCCAATTCCATCCAAGCTGGCAGCAAAAAAAAAGAAAAAAAAATTATACCATCAAAAACAGATACCCATTTTTTTTGAAAGATCTATATACATGGAGATGCACAAGTGCATGTACACTGATGGGTTCCCATAATTGGTAGAAAGTAAAATGCCTTAATATAATGCAGGGTTGATGGCCTGCCCTTGTCATATGTCTGCTCCTTTTTCCAAACCTAATGCAGAGTTGGATGTAATAAGTAAAGCACTAATCTTTACCATTCAGATTCTTCTTTTCAAACCTGTTTTCCCTCTTCTTACTCAAAACTCTGTAAATCCATCCTCACCTTGCCTGAAATATATGGATTTAAATTTGGAGTATGTCATTCATTAATCATACAAACTAAAATGAGATGAAAAACTATTTATAACTGCAAGAGGGTGTGAGACAAGCAGGGAAAGTTTCCTTTTCTACTTTTTTATTATTATTATTATTATTTTTATTTGATTTTCATAGCTATCAATTATGCAGAGTTATTCACATTCTGTAACATACACAAATGAGTTGAGAGATTTAAGGAAAATAATAAATGAAATACCATCAAGTAACAAGCCAAAAAAATATATATATAAAATGGGGAAAATTATGTAGATGATGTGGAAGAATCCACCACAAAGACCCCCACTTGCTGTTAAATTATGGTTTCCATGTAGCAAAGCCATGAGGAATTTATAACATCTGTTTTTGAATTTGCTGTGTAAAAAGCTTTCAAGAATCTTCTGTGCTGCTTCATGCCGACAGTCTTCTTTTTGCTTTGGGTCCTCTTAAATACCTTTCTTACAATCATGGGGATGCATTGGCCAATTAATCTGCTGCATGAATATCACCAGCTTTGGAATGTTTAAAAGAGAAGTTACCGCAAATATGATTTTGCTAGAAAAAAACCCTTGACTTCTCGCCCTGCCTACCAAAGCTTGGAATAAGACTTCCACTTCTTTCATGGTGGGCCTCCACTCTCTCAAACACACAAAAACCAGGAGATATGGATGACATGGAAACAGGTACAAGTGCTCCTCCAGCTAGAACTAGAAGCTTTGGTCTCAGGTCCTTCCAAGGTTGTTGACCCGCATACTGAAAATTTTTTGCTTGCCCTTTCCCAGCCAAAAGATACCTCTCAATGCCAAAAAAATTCAAAGTCCTCGGTTCCTTAGGCAAACAGTAATCATGTTCCCGAAATACTAACACTTGACAATCTTATGGGGGTCTCTCCAGTCCAACAAAATCTTTGTCATATGCTTCTGTCACCAGAAAGAAAGGAGTTTAACCAACAGAAATGAGCAGTAATTAGTGTTATCAACATGCAAAACCCAAGTTCTTAGCCAAAGTTGTAACACATCAAGTTTCACACCCACAAAACCTTAGCCAAAGAGTCAACTAATAAATATCTTAGCAGGAACTCAGCACCTCTAAGCATTTCTTGACATTGCAACCTTCTATACTTAAAGAAGTAGAGATTGTATTTTGAATGTGACTCAGGTCTCACATAAAGCACCTTGAGTGCATCTCAAAACACAAAAACTAAGCAAAGTACAAATGGAAAGGGCAGAAAACTTATCTGGTTTTGGCATCTAGCTAGTAACTACCTACTACCACAACATGGTCCAAGCAATTACCTGTTTTGGTTGTGGGAACTGAAACTAAACTTGAAAGTGCATTCCAATTTCAGTTTGTGGAAAAAACCTCGATGGAGTCTAATGAATGACCACCAAAACATTCAAATTCATGGATATTTTACACAATATAGTCAGAGCTTTTCAGACAAAGCCTCTTCAATCATTTTCCGTATAATAAACAACTATTAAATCCAAATGGACACAGAAATTCTACAAAAAAAAAAATCATGCTTCTTTTGCAAATGCACTATGAAATGATCAAGCAAAGGATTGGGATGGCCATAATCTCGAAAACAAAAGATAAATTGTGCACTACATCAATTCAAAAGGTCAGCCGGACTTTTTAATGGAACAGGTGAAAATTTGACACTTTTTCAGAAAGAAAAGTCACTTTCTTATTGCCTCATCAAGAACACTATGATGGCGAACTGAACTGCCAGATAACTTGCCTTTCAGATTCCTAAGAATGGAAAGAATAGCAGATTAAGTCTTTAAACAAGGACTAATGAACACCAAGTTAAAAAAAAAAGAAAAAAAAGTAAAGTAAGCCAGTACACAGAAAAACATACATACAAAAATATTTTTAAGAACAAGTTAGGTGAATGCAGAGAGAGAACAGGATAGTGCTAGAATACAAGAAAAAAAAAATCATAAGAATGACTGGTGGCAGAAAAACTTCGTGTTAATTCATTTGCTACTTTGTACAACACACAAGAAATGATGGAGAAACAACAAAACCTCCCCCCTAAACATCCGCTGTCATTTATCAGAAAACTTAAGAGGAACAGAAATTCTACAGTTTTCATCTGGTTCTAGTAGTTCTACTCAGGCAGCATTTTCTATCTTTAAAATAAAAAAGATAATCTCTTTTCTCACATGAAAGAAATAAGATTTCTTTTCTGAATCCAAAAAGTCCAAAGTAATGCTTGGTAAAAGATGTGTGAATGCTTGAAGGGTGGTGCTCAGTGGTAGGAATACAATATAAAATCCCAATTCAATGTCTTTTTCTGTCTCAAAATCTTCTAAAAGAGTAAATAAGCTAGTACAAAATGGATGAGGAGAAGTAATAAAAAAAGAATTCAATAAATCCTACAATTTTTAAATTTCTAAACAAGTAACAAACAATAGAAAAGAAAATGTTACATAGAGGATGTTTCAACAAGAACCTCATTTAGCACGTCATCCTCACCGTTTGCCAATGCGAACAACTCTGCATCCTTCTCCTCATCACTGGAGAAGTCCCGGCGCTCCAGCTTGGAATGAGCTGCAATGAAAATCAACTTTTGAGCCCTGTCCATGCCTACTCTGGTGTGCCTGTGGCCACCCACCCATCTCAACAAAGACCAGTTGCATTTGAATCCACATGAGGTTGCATGGAGGAAAATAAGCCTAACTGCAACTTTCCCTAAGGACTTGAACTCAGAAAGATAAGTTTCCCACACAAGCCTACTGCTCTGGGGATTGGCAATTCTCATCTTTCCAGTGATTGGATCTCTCTCCCTCATTTGAACAGCTCGTGCATATACAGGATCCAGCCCTTCTGTCCTCCATTTCATAAGTTCCATTAATGCAATATGAGCCTCTTCCCTGGACACAAGCCTGGTTATGAGTTTGTCAACGTCCTTTTCTTGCTCGGTTGTCAAACATTTGAATGGTGGAAGGTATTTCCCACATGTATCTCTAATCAAATAAAGGGGATCGAGTATGAAAGCAGCAGCCCAAGCTGGGTGGTAATTCTTCTGGAACCGCCTCTCAATTACCTTCTCCACTGGACCTTCTGCAATGTTAAATTTTGAACACCAATCTCTGACTTTGGCCCTAAGCTCATCCCAGAGAGGCAGACATTGCCCAACTAATGGCCTTTCTGTCTCAATCTCTCTAGCCATATCCTTGATCAGTTTAACTAAGGAGAGCACTGCCTCTAATTCATTCCAAAACCCCACATCTCGAGTCATCTCTGAAATCTCCCTTGCGGCTGGGTCCTCCAAAGACGCCACCTTATACGTCTCATCAAACACCAGCTGAAGTGCCCGAGCCGAGTGAAATATATCCTCCATCATTGCATAAAGAGGTTCCCAGTTCCAGCTTTCCTGACCATGCAAGGGCACTCGCAATAACCTTGCACTCCCACCCTCCTGCAACTGATACTTATTGAAGCTGGTTCGAATTTGAGTCGTGTTATTCACGAAATTTGCCAGCTTTATGGCATTCTCAGTGGCAGTCTTGAACAAAGGAAGCTCCTTGCTGAAGTCCTTTATTAAATTATTAAACCCCTGAAATTGACAAGAAAGATTAACCATCCAATGATGCTGATTCTCCAAATTCCTCAATGCCTTGGCCTTAAACTTATCGGCCACGATCCCTACACATTGCTGTACAGCATTCCCACAAATCCCCGTTATGGTCTCCCAGAAGACCTCCTCTGCATACTTTGAAGGAACAGAACCACCGAGGAACACGGCCCTCCTATACAGACTAGTCCCGTTAGGCAAATTCACCGTCAGATTCACTAAACACTGTTCAACCGTTCCAGGGCTCTGGACCCTCCACCCATCAGACGAAATTTGAAAGAACATGGCGTCCCTAATCCTCGCCTCCGATTCCGCCTTCACTTCCTCGTACTTGATATCTAATCTACTCCCGGTGAACTCCCTCTTTGAAACTGGTGGCAAACCGACTTGATTAAGGAAAGCTCGAAACTTTGGATGCTCTAGACTCGAAAATGAAACCGCCCCACAAGACTCGTAGACCCAATCAGCAAGAAAATCGAAGGCACACTCAACCTGCGACTTGCTCAATGTTGGTCCAGGTGAAGTTTTGGGGCTTTTTAGCTTCTTTACACTATCCTCCAACATTGCCAAAGCTCCTAAGTCTTCCTTCCCTCCGGACAGTACCAAATGCTGCTGATGCTGCACCAAAGTCCCTGCACTCGCCGTTACCACCGTGGCCGCAGCTGGCGGGTAAGACAAGTCAGCGCAAAATCTGGAAGGATCAACAATAGCGAGAGGTGTGACCTGATAAGAACAACCTGAAACCCCAGAGGCAGAGGCGGAACCAGGAAGAACGCCACCGGTACCACTGACGGTAACAGAAGAAGAGCTCCGTTTGCGATTACTAGGAGTTGCTACTGTTGATTGCGGTGGTGGCGATGGAGAGATAGAGGAAATGGGTTTTGCGTGGGGGTTGTAGTTGGGGCATGTGCCGCGCTTGAGGTGCTCGGAGGCGGTGCGCGACGGGTTAGAGGCGGAGAACACTGCGTCGCAAAGGGAACACCGGAGCTTGACCGCTTTGGCGAGGCCCGTGTCAGTGTTGTGGACCAACATGGGCTCTAAGTAGGCCCAGTACCACGCTCCCTTTCCCTTTATGGCCTTGGTCCTAACCATCGCCAGGCCCTCGTACCGCTTGTGCACGGCCTTGGCTGTCACCTCGTCGGCGGAGACAGGGTCCACTACCGCCGAGGCGGTGTTGGTGGTGGCGGCAGACATTGCAGGGACCTCGATGAAAAAATAAATACAAGCCGGGATATAATTTATCAACTTCCGAAAGTTTCCTGGGGGACTTCACTACAAGATTCTGCTTCTTCTTCTCTTCGATGTTGTCAGCACCATCATCATCATCATCTCGTGGAGTTTGAAGTGAACCACGGTTCTTCCTTGTCCCTTGCATTTACCCGGGAAAATCCGCCGACGGTAAGCGGATCTTGATTTCCCGGCAAGTTTCCATGCAGAGTAGTTTTTCAATTTTGGTTCTCAGTAATGGGTCTTTTTAGAGGATGAGAAATTTCAAAGAGAGGGAGAGTAAAGAGACATAGAAAAAAAAAAAAAAAAAAGAGAGAAAGAGTGAAGTGAAATAGGCGTCTGTGTGTGTGTGTGTGTGTATCTTTGTATCTGTGTGTCTATGTGTGTTAAGTTGAAAGGGAAATTCTGGGCGTGCACGCGCAGCCACAGCCTGTCAGAGTGAGCGTGGGGAAGATGGAGGGAGGGACGTCGTTGGGAACTGGTGCAATGAGGTAACCCCACAGCCCACGTACGGGAACACTTACCTGACACTGGTCGTCACTACCTGGTGATTGGGGAGTGAAGAATACGCGCATCAAAAGGTTCTAGTTTTGGTATCACTTCCATGTTTCTTGCCTTTAGTTATCTTTCATATTTTCCCATTTTTCTCTTTTGTGTTGTTGTTGGGTTGGGGGTCTTTGTTTGTCTTTCTTTTCCTCCCCCTTTACTCTATTTTCTAATCTTTTTAAACAGTAATAAAAAAACAAAAACAGAAACAAAAAAAAAAAAAGGGTTTTTTTTTTTCACATCTAAAATATTTTTGTTTTAATTTCTTTTTTTATTTTTTTTAATCCCTTTGAATCGAAAGATCATGTCAAAACTAAATCAAGTAGTTCTGCTGTGTCACAAGTATAAGTTATACGTGGTATCTCAAAGCCAAATGTCATGGTTTGTACTCTAAGAATAAAACAATGAGAATTAGTTCTCTATTTAACAAAGTTTAAATAGTAAAAGAAGAATGATTAGATGAAAATTAACTTTTTAATATTAAAGGTTAGTTTTTTATTCAATAATTTGTGTTAATATTGTAATAAAATATAATTTAAATTGTATAATATATTTTTATATGATAATTTTTAATAAAATAATAAAAAAAGTTTTAATATATTGTTTTTTTTACTAACTAAAAATATCTCATGACATTAGCTAATCTCAAATTGAAATTAAATTATTCAAAAAAATTTACCTATATATAATTTTATATTTCTTCCTCTCGTAAGAATCAAATGGTGTACAAGAAAATAAACAATTGTACATTAAATAAGTACCAACTTCATGGAGATTGTTTTATTGGGGGTTTTTAATTTAGAAAATAAATGTTTTAAAGATATAAGGTAAAAGTATATTTATTATTTATTTTTATTATTAATTTATATAACAATTAAAAATAATTTTAATTTTATTTACTATTTAAGTAAAATATTTTAAGTAATATTAATATTGAAAATAAAATTTATTTTTATAATTTTTTATATAAATTAATAATTAAAAAATACAATAAATTACCCTTAAATTCACATGTTAAAAAAATCTTTGAAAAAAAAATACTCAAATTTGTTACAAACTTTTTTTAATTGTGTTTTATTTAGAGATTTGGACCTAAAAAAGGGGCAACCTAGGAAGTTGATTTGAATGAAATCCACCTGTTGCTCCGTGGCTGTGGTTCACCCGAGACAGCCGAAGGAATTGCCTTCAAAATGTTTCCCCAAACAGCCATTTCGCAATCGAAACTTTGGGGTGTTTTTTTTTTCTTTAACTCATTTTTTTAAGAATGGTATTATCAAGATAATTTTTTTATATACTTTTTAATATAATTTTCACATGTCATTAAATGAATGGATACATTTATAATTATAAGTTTTATATGAATTAAAAGAATTAATTATTTAAAAAACATGTCATATTGCATTAAAAGATAATACAAAAAAGTTGTCTAAAAATTATTATTTTTTATCTTAGTTAAACAATGAGAAGTAATTATCTTTTATCTTTTATCCCACTTCACTTGAATATCATGCGACTTGAACTCAGAACCTCTTATTTTCAGTAGAAATAGATGATCATTCCACTTTACCCGAATATTATACCACTTGAATTTAGGACCCTTTACTTCTAGTAAAAATAAATGACCACCGACTTATTTGGATAGTTTACCATTTCTTTATTTTAAATTTCATTTATTTGTAGGATTGCTGATTCAATTAAAGTCCTCTACACCAGGTGGCATATTATCACAAGTAGGCAATGGTTAAGGCCATTAAATTCATTTAATTTGGTTGATTTTATTAGTTTGTAATTATTAATGTGCTTAAAAATATAAATATATAAATTGATTTTAAAATATTAAATATTAATTATTTCATAAAGTATCAATTAATAACTGATGTTGTTATCCATGAAACTAAATACATTTATTCTTATCCATCAAACTAAATACACTTACAATATTTTTATATAACTTTAATAAATATTTGTGTGACGATAATCATGTTTGACAAAATATGTTCATTAATTCGGATTTTCAGGGAAGAAGCTGCTCCTAATCTGTTTTCTCTTGTATTTAAAAAATATTCCAAATGAGGTGTGGCATTGAGAATTAGCTATTGTACACAATGCACACCATTATCTTTACCTTCCTTTCAACTTGATTCTCTAAAATCTAAATAAATTGACTAGTTTGGCCACTAGAAGGTTGGTCAAATTATTTCAAGTTTGTTTTAGGTTTCAATTCCTATAAATGCAATTGGAGGATAGTTCTTATCGAACTAATTAAATAAATGAATGTATGCAGTTACTGAAGGAAAAAAAAGTCAATAAATACTACCATAATTATAGGTAAACTTCAATGCTACATAACATAAATGATATAACAGAAGAAAGTATTGGTCAAAGAAGTTTGTTCTCATGTACAAATTTTTTTTTACCTTACATTTAGGATTTAGGAAAATCTTTTTCGTTTGCTGCCTCAATTTCTACGTTAGTGAATAGTGGATTTGGATTGAAATCAGTAACATGTCTCACATAAAAAGTCTAATTATCAATTAAATTATGTTTGAAGAACTGTGTGAGAGTTGATTAAATTGTAAACAATATATTTATAAAATATTGAAATGTATAAAGCCAAACTATTACGTTAATAATAAATTCTTTTAACAATCACGTAACATTAAACTGATAAATTAATTTATATTAATTTACAAATCTCATTCAAATAAAATGATTTAATAAAAATTACATTGCATCATCATGATATAAAATTTTATTATTATCAATATGTTATTAACAAATCATTTCCTAGGTTTAAATGAAGATTCGAGTGAACAAAAATATTGTGAGTGTTAAAATATCCAATGAGTCAATAACCATATGTCACCAACTGTCATCCACCTTGTGATGTATGCATATTTGGAACCATTACACTAGGAGTTAATCAATGTGTGTCTTTACCCAACAATTTTGAATTTTCTTAATTTCCTCAAAGAAAAAGGAAATGAAAAGCTTCTTTTTTCTTGAGGTTTAGTAAAGTTCAGTATTTGCAAGGATTAATTGGCTTTTTAAGCACAAATTCAAAAATACTATTGGAAAATCTTGAGTTAAACTTCTACTTATGTTAATTGGTTTGTGATTATAGTGACTTTGTACCTACAAATGCCATGTGTATGCTCAAAAGAGGAAATATTTTAACACTTTGCCGTATGGTTTGGTCCTTTTCTTAGCACAAATATTATAGCGTGGAGAGTGAGAGAAGAAAACAAGTTATAGCCTTAAACACAGGGAATAATTTGGATGGGATTCAAAATGTAGAACTTCTCCCAAACCTTGTCATTTTCAGGTCTTCAATGCCTCAACATGCAAAAACTCAATGTGTCCCTCAGTCTTTTTTTTTTCTCTTGGTAAGTCCTTATCCCCTTGTTCTCTGTCTCCCAACAATGGAGTTATGCAGTTTTCTCCTCTCTCTCAAATAAGCCATGATATTTTTCTCCTTTATATTATTTCCTTTCTTTGAGACTCATCAGAGTCTGTTTAGGTGGACTGAATTGACTTGAGCAAAATATCTAATAAAGTTAAAGACATTTCATTTTCTCCATTTGACAAAAGCAACAACAGCCTTATTTAATTTTAGAATTTTCTACCCAGAATTCTTATTGGCCCTTTATTTTTCATCCTCTTTGTATAAACAGTCTCCACTCAAATGATTTATATCTAAATTACCAATTTATTTTTTTCTCGACGGATAAAGGAAGTTAGAAACTTATTAAAGTTAGGCTTCGTTTTCAAGTACTATGTACAGCACATTATCTAAAAAGAATAAATTGATTATAAATAAATAATTTTAATAATTATTTTTATATATTTTTAATTTTAATTAATATTTAAAAAAATTTAAAAATAGCACAACACAACACTCCAAAGTCCAAAATTAAGCCTTAATATATATCAACTCAAATAAAATTCTTATGATGAATTACGCATTCTCTTTTTTTTTTTCTTTTTTTTTTTATATAAAAACCTTAATTTTTATGTACTTTTCACTGCAAATTGGAAACTTTTTGAAGTAGTCTTTACTCTACCTTTTTTCACAAAAAGAAAAGGCAATCTCACGAGTCACAATAATACAAACAAGAAAACCTCCAATTTTATAAAGTATAGATACAGTGTTAAGTAGGCCATAAAAACCATTAACAAACCCCTCTTCATTATTGTATAAAGTCAATGGAAAACCAACACATTGCCTATCAACCCATCTCTACATAAAAACAATTCCCATCAACTCATTTTGATGGTGTGTTCATTTATTTATACTAAATTTAATTTCCCATTACCAAAACCACCTCTTTAATCTTATACAGTGCAGAATACACCTACATTACATAAATGATGACATAACACATTTTAGTATTCCTTTTTGCTGAAGAGGACTCTCTTTTATTCAGAAATAAATATACATCATCTTCTTCTTTTTCTGTTTTTTTTTTTTAACTTCACACCTTTCATTAATTAGACTTATTATCTGGTTTTCCTTGGTATTGGTTAGAAACACCTTATGCATGAAGGAGGAAGAAAAGAACCTTTTATGAATGCTTAACAGCAAAAGCAATCCATGATCAAGTGGAAAATATGGTTAATTATGGTTCTAAACCAGATTAATATTGCTGATTACAATCGATAAGGTTAAAATTTAATCACCAAATTAAGATGGATGATAACAGTTCTTTTTCTTTTTTTTTTTTTCCTCAAGAAATTCCATCAAAAGTGCATTATTTGCAGCTGTCTGATTCAAAAATCACATATAGAAGACAGACCCCCAAAAAAATCAACTAATAAAAGTTTCAAAATTTCCATGCAGTGTGTCCCCATGTATGTCACAGGAATAGAAACATGGTCTCCACATTCTGATGTGGACAAAATAAAAAACATAAAGATGGGTCCGAGTTGGCAAATGGGTGTGGGGGCCAGATATTGCTAATGGGACCCAATGATGAGCAGTGTGATTAGTGACACGTGTATGGCAAGGATTGAGAAATGGTAGGGGGGGTAGTAGACATTCCCCTTCCCCAATGATGCCACACAAAAGAAAGCCATAAAAAGCTCTGAAGAAATGATGAGAAAGCTAATTTGCAATTTTCCTTCCTTTATAAAAGTAGGAAAAAGAGAGGGACCAATTGAAATGTTGAGACCCCATTGAAAGCTGAAACTTGGTTTTGAAATCACACCAGCTGGCTTGATCAACCACATGATTACAGGACCCACCCTTTTGGTGAAACTCTTGTGCCCCTTTTTTAATTTTTAATTTTTTTACTTCCCCCTCCCCACTCAAATATATCCAACCACACTAGATTGGACAATGATATTATAAAAAATTATTTATAATCTTCCAAACTACAGCGTCTCCTCTTTTTCTGACCAGCCCCTTGTATTGATGCCCATCAACATGACCACAGTTATTATGCTGCAATTATAATCCTTTTTACTATTAGTTGAAACTGGTATATAGAATGTCTTTGGTTTAGATAATTAAAAACAATTTTTATGACCATTTTAGCAAAAAAAAAAAAGGTATGAATATTATGGATAAATTGACCTATGATTCTAAGGTAATTATGCTTTGTAACGAAAAGAAATTATTTAGGGTCATGTTTTAGATTGCACAATCAAGAATATTATTACCTTTGTGCTAAATTTTGGCTTTGGGGGCATCCTATGTTGAAATTGAGCAGATATTTTATAAGATTATTATTATTATTATTAAAGCTAGAATCGAGGAGAAAACCCCAGCCCATTAAAATGAATTGGTGATCCTGCCTATCTGGCCCAGCAATATACGAGTCTACGAGGTCTCACAACTATACAAAAGATAGGCCCATTAGACCCAAAAGGTAAAGCCCATAGAACATTGTTTGGACTTTGGAAAAGGAAATGAAAAAAAAATAGCCCATTGTGAGGCTCCATCAAAAGGTAATTGAAAAGGACTAGCCCAAGTTGACTAAATTGCTTAAACTTAAATAGGCTAAGCCCATTATTTGAAAACCTGACATGAAAAAAATTAAAAAAGCAATGCGCCCACCGTGGGGCTCGAACCCACGACCACAAGGTTAAGAGCCTTGCGCTCTACCAACTGAGCTAGACGGGCTTCTTGTTGGTTATTTGGTCAAAATATTATAGTGGTAATTCTTCACCAAGCAATATTTAGACCACCCAATGAATTTTATATGCAGATTTCATACTCAAAAACATTGAAACTACAAGTCTGATACATAAAGTTTCACTTTTTTTTTTGGCCAACATCATAAATTTTAATTTGAAGACAGCAGAAAGCAGAAATCCAGACACTAACATAGTACCACCTAAAAAGGGGAAACCGAGTTCTCCTCAAGCTACACAAAAATCCCATTTCCTAAACTCGAAGATAATCTCCACCAAAACCACCAAAGACTATTTTATCATACTAATAAGACTTCTCAGGATCAAGTTCCCAGGAGTTCTTGCAGCTGAGAATTGAGAAATATACTGAAGGGGCTTCCTTTTTTCCACAGAGTGATTGCATTTCTGTTGCTCAGCTAGTCTGATTTAACATCTTGAGCATGAATAGGGTATGAACCACCATTCTGTGCACCACTCTTTTCAATTTCCTCTTTCAGCTGAATCAAATCAATAAGGAATAATCAGCAGAAGAAAAGATATATACACTACTCAAGGTGGAAATTTTGGACCGTAATGGAGTGTTATGAAAGATCATAATGTCATGCTGTGAAAATCTGATTCCATATTAAAAGATATAATAGCAAGGAAACTGGATGTTATGGTGAACTGGCTAACAAGTTTTATCATGGAACCAACCATATTCAATAATCTTTAGAAACATAAATTGAACATAAATCATAATTTCCTATGGTCGATAAAGGCATCAGAGAAGTTCAATGGAGATGACATGGAAAGTTGGAAAACAACATGAAATGCAGCATGCTTACCTTCCTCAAAATCTTCTTTTGGTATCGATAGCCCTAATCAGAAAAAACAATATTAGAGAAGCAACTTTGTCAGCTGAAGTTTATAGAACCCCAATGAAATATAAATTGATATAACAAGCCTGTTTATATTACCTTGTCAGTTCCATAGATATAATCACAATAAGTAAACACTGAAGCAAAGTTGCTTTGGCTGTCTCCTCCAACATAATGATGGTAATCATGGTAATCCGCACCGCCATAAAATGGAATATATTTTGTTGGAGTCCAGGGGAAGTCATATCTGCAGAGCATGTTATCTATTTATAATACAATCTTTGTTTGGACAGAGTCTAACTTGAATATTAAGAAGTTTGAGATGTCATGCAAAATGTAGTGCCTGAAATGGAAGTAAAGCTAAATGGGGCATTGGCACACATTCCTCTCAACTATATCTCTTTTCCAAGCAAAAGTCACAGCTCAATTAGCTAAACAATAACGCTAATACACTTTTCATTTATTACAAGTTTTGGAGGGACAAGGCCCAACCAACCAAAAATACTGAGAAATGGTATTAACTGATGTCAATTTAACTGAACAGAAAAAAAAAAAAAAAATTATACCATCAAAAACAGATACCAAATTTATTTTTTTTTGAAAGATCTATATACATGGAGATGCACAAGTGCATGTACACTGATGGGTTCCCATAATTGGTAGAAAGTAAAATGCCTTAATATAATGCAGGGTTGATGGCCTGCCCTTGTCATATGTCTGCTCCTTTTTCCAAACCTAATGCAGAGTTGGATGTAATAAGTAAAGCACTAATCTTTACCATTCAGATTCTTCTTTTCAAACCTGTTTTCCCTCTTCTTACTCAAAACTATGTAAATCCCTCCTCACCTTGCCTGAAATATATGGATTTAAATTTGGAGTATGTCATTCATTAATCATACAAACTAAAATGAGATGAAAAACTATTTATAACTGCAAGAGGGTGTGAGACA